CCCTACAGTGATTATATATTTTATAAATAAGAACTAAAGCTTTAGTTAAATAATAACTTACCTGTTAAAAAAATGTAGTCAGTAAATATTAAAGTAACCTAACTTGATTACTTTCCACTACTTTTGTATAACCTCACCACCAAATACGGAGTGTAACATTAGAAAAAAACAGATGTATTTTAACATTTTAATCCTGCTAAATAATCCCCAAATAACAAACAGTTTTGTTAAATCAAAAAAATATAAACATTTCCATCTTCCAAACTAGTTTCCTCCATGATTACAAAAATGAATCCAAGGATGAGATCAGCAGAGGGTGAACTATTTATTTCATTAGGAGGAGTAACTATAATATTATTACTGACATGTATTAGTAATTAGTGACACTACTAGTTACTGGGGAGAGTATTATTATTATTATTATTATTAGTAATGAGTTACTGTCCCACACTGCTCCCCAACCCTGAACCGTATTTAATGTTATTCACTGCAGTTCCCACATCTGTCCAGTGGGTGGCGGTAGAGCACCACGGCGCTGTTTGCCAAACACCACAGGACCCTAGAAGAAGTAACGCCATTTGAGCAGAGATCACCAGAGACGAAATGAAAAAGCGTAAAATTTGTACATTTTTAACATTTTTTACAGAAACTTCTGCCCCAGAGGAGTTGTGACCAGTCACCGACATGCGCAGTCGGTTGCAGTTTGTCTCGTTAGCGGCTGTTAGTGGATGAAAAACGAGCTGAAACATGACGAAGAGTCGCCGCTGAAGCCAGAAACGGACAGAAACATAAATCCGTGTGAATTATAATGTGAACCGGATCAACTTCAGTGGAGTCAACCATGCCTCTAAAGAGCAGACAGGCTGCAGTCGGGACCACAACCGACGGACTCTCTCGTCCCGAGGATGGAGCATTATGTTGAAGGTGGACTACAGACGACAGACTACAGGCAGCGTCCCTCTTCCTCGACTTCCTGTGTGGATTTCCCTCCTACATGCTCCACAAGTCGGTTTGGACACGTAGCTTTTAGGAGCGACTGATCGGCGTTACAAGAGACTCCCTATCTCCGAGTCATGTCCAGGTCCAGTCGGAGGTACAAGCCCCTGCAGCAGAGCAACGGCGGCGGGTCGTTCCCCGGCTGTGACCGGGTGCGGATGCCCCGGGCCCGGGTGCTGCTGCTCTGTCTGTTCGGGGTCCTGGTCCTGGCGGTGGTTCTGGGGGTCTACCTGTCAAACGACACCACCGATGGACATGACAACCGCATGCCGGCCGCAGATCTGACCAAAGACCGGGTAAGAGCACGGACGGGTATTGACGGGACTTTAAAGTTGTGGGATTAGTTTGGTTCTTAAAGTGTTAAATGTGACTGAAATAAATCCAACAGGAAAAACCAGACGGTGGTTCATTGTCTGAATTTATGTGTTACAACATCTCATAGTAATCAGATATGAAACAGTGGTGAAAAAAGATTGAAGAAAGGATTATTTTCTGCCACATTTCCTCCCCAAACAGTGCAGTTTATTTACTATTGATATCAGATACATTAAAGGACCAAACCCTAATCCTGGTCCAGTGTGCACAGACACTGAGGATGGACTTGATGGTGAAGAAGTAGATGACTTTTTAAGGATTTTAATGTAGTATGATAAGTATTATATATTATATTGTCTTTAATACATGTGTGGATGGGTTCTTTGATGATCCCTATCCACACATACGACACAATACAATATGGTTTTACCACCGAGAAGTTACAATACCACATTAAAATGTATTAAAATTACTTGACAGTGGGGAGGGAAACTTTATAAATAAACAAAATTTCCATATTCATAAATTCTGTAATTTTTAATGAGGTAGAAGTAGATGACTTTTAAAGGATTTTAATGTAGTATGATGAGTGTTTTATATATTATATTGTCTATCTTATCCACACATACAACAAATACAATATGGTTTTACCACCGAAAAGTTACATTTCCACATTAAAATGTATTAAAGTCACATTCTCCCTCCATTTTAAAAGTCCAGAATTAATAACTGTGCAAATATTTTTCATTTCAAAAGTTTAACTACTGAACACAAGATGTCTCCCGGCTCAGTAAGTCCAGCCTCCAGTGTTTGTGCACTTGTATTGTTGCATACTGGACCAGCGAGTTCTGATCCACATCAACCCTGTAACAAGTTCTCTGTGTGGTTGTTTGCTGAATACATTGCGTCTTCACACATTTTTTTCTTTTTACTCATTAATCTCATCTCACGTCCATCCAGTTGTCCCACAAACCCAGTAAGTGCTCTCCAACCCAAATCCGCCGCCTGGCCTCTCAGGTGGATGGTTCTCGCCTGTGGGAGACTCACCTGCGGCCCATCCTGATAGAGAGGCTGCCAGGAACACAAGGCAGCCTCGCTGTACAGCAGGTGTGTGTGCGAGAGTATTTATAGCCCCCTCCTCTTTATACATTCTCTCTAAATGTTCCTCTTTAATGCCCCCCCCCCCTCCCATCCCCTCCATCTTTCAGCACATCACCTCCACTCTGTCTTCGCTCTCTGCTGGCTGGGCCATAGACTTCGACTCCTTCCAGTCTTCGACCCCTCGTGGCCAGGTGGCGTTCACAAACATCGTAGCCACTCTGGACCCTTCGGCCCCTCGCAGGCTGCTCCTGGCCTGCCACTATGACTCCAAGGCTTTGCCTCCGGACCCCCAGGCCCCGGGGAAGGTGTTTCTGGGGGCCAGTGACTCGGCAGTGCCGTGCGCTATGATTCTGGAGCTCGCCACCTCTCTGGACGCCCAGCTTCGATCATTCAAACAGCAGGTGTGTATCGTAGAAATGTGACCACCTTTACCTGAATAAAGTTAGAGTTTGTTGGGATAATATAAGTCCACTACTCAACAAAATATATACATAGGTCTAGTATTTATAGACATGTCTATATGCTGACAAGAGAAGTTTTTCTCTTTTTTCCCCCCCATAGACTCTCATTTCCCTCCTTGCCTCGCTGCCTGCAGTATAGGAAAGAAAACGCTGACTCCAGCCCCTTATTTTCTTTGCAGCAGTCATTTGTATATAGCAGTATCTCTCCAGAGGCTGTGATTTATGTAGTTACTGTAGGAGAACACACTGCAACATCACTGCAGAAAGAGAACCTCGTCTTCAGTTGCTGTATTTTAATTTGATTTCCTCCTCCAGAAACTTCCAGTGTCTCTTCAGCTGGTGTTCTTCGATGGGGAGGAGTCATTTGAGGAGTGGACCGCCACGGACTCGCTGTACGGCTCCCGTCACCTGGCCGAGCGCATGGCCAACACGCCTCACCCCGCGGGCTCCACGCACAACACCATGCTCCAGGCTGTGGTGAGGAAGCAGAAATACACGCCCTTCGTGGTCTTCCTCGGTCCAGACACCCACACTCTAAATTATGTATGAGGCTGAATTTAGCGACTGCCTGCTGAACAACACAGGCCGGTTTTACAGTCGCAGAAGGTCTGTCGTGTCCTCCCTCCTCCTCATGTAGTCATGTAACTCAGTGGTTCTCAACCTGGGGTCTGGGGACCAACAGGGGTCGGTGAGGAGGTTCTAGGGGGTCCACAGAAAAATGGGAATATTTAAATATTATTGAATTGACTAGAAGTTAATTAAATAAGTTATGTAATAACTAAATCTCATCAGACGGGACTATTTTCTTGCCTGATGTGCATCAATACACGGGGTCCTTGCATGTACTATGATTAAAAAGAAACTCAATATTCAGTAGCCTCTCTCTCTTTTAACTTCCTCTCCAGGACCTCTTTGTGCTGCTAGACCTGCTCGGCGGTCCTGACCCTCTGATTGCGAATCACTTTGATAACACAGCGCGCTGGTTCGACCGCCTGATTGCTGCAGGTAACCAACGGCTGAACCCTTTTTCCTTCATGTATATTTAAAATCCCTAATCTGTTGTACGCCCTAACTCCGCCCCTCGCCCCCTCAGAGAAGAGACTCCACCGACAGGGTCTTCTGACGTCTCACCCCTCAGAGCAGACGTATTTTAGGAAGGACGTCTACCTTGGACCTGTGCAGGACGACCACATCCCCTTCCTTCACAAAGGTGAGTGAAATATATTACTGCAGACTGAAGACTGCACCACGGGACGTATGTGGTCATAAATACTATAAATACATTCAGTCATCATCAGCTTCCTCCTTCCTCTACAGGTGTCCCTGTGCTACACGTCATCGCCACTCCCTTCCCACAGTTCTGGCACAAGCTGGACGACACCGAGGAGAACATGCACCGACCCACTGTGGTGAACCTGACCAAGATCATGGCTGTGTTTCTGGCTGAATATCTGGGCTTCTGAACACCAAACGCAGTATTCGTACTGAAGATCTCTTATGGGTTTGTTTTGTTTTTTTTACCCCACACTGGAGTGGTAAGTGCTGTTTGTCCCACTGATGACAAATAAACAGCACAAAGGAACCAGCTCAAACTTTACCAAAGACTCGGCCCATGCTGGACTGACCTCGTCTCCGTGGTTTCGTGTGAAGAACAAGGTGGAGACCCCATGTCTAAATGTCCCCCGGCGTGTGATGCGTACAGAAAGAGTCTTACATAAAATGTTAATAGTTGTGGAAACATGGTACTGGAGGAAGAGTTGGGAAAGTCTGTGAAATAATTTTGTTTGCTTCATTCCTGTGAAAAAACAAAACAATAGCCGTAGCATTTATTGACTCCGTTAATATGATCAAGATGCACTAACGTCTTCTTAAAGACGGACTTTGTAACCAGCTGCTGTGAACACTGTTCATACAGTGACAAAGGTGAACTACAGCCAGGTCATATCTGTGAATATTATATATTATATTGACTTTACCTTCACTTGAGTGATGTCCTCTCGGCCTTACAACCTGCTGTTCTTAACTCTGCTACCTATTACTGTACGGCTATATACTGCACATTTTGTGTCAGAGTGAAACCTCTTAAAAAGGTGTAAGTGAAACGTCTGCAATAAAGTTAAAGTTTTATTCTGTTTTCTCCTAGAATTTGACGACAGAAACACTGGAAAATGCTGTTCGGTAACAGATACAAAACATTTTACCAGCCCGTCTTATCTTCCTTGTAACAACCTGATTGTTATGAATGTTTTGATACCAGGTATGAACATTAAGAATGAGTTAGAGACCCCCCAAACATCACGACTTTACAGCAACGTCTCTGAACTGGCGTGTTACGTTTTGTGTGGTGTTCTGTATGTGTTCAAGTCACTGGGACAATATCTGCTATGTTTTGTTTGTTTTACTGACACCAGAAAGTAGACTTTACATTAAAGAAGAACTGTTACACCCACACAAAGTCACATAGTGAACATCTGAAGAGCAGCCTCAGTTGATGTGATGTAGAGGGGGTGGTGGGTGAGAGAGGGGTGGAGGTGGATGGCGGTGGCGGTACTGGGGTTGAGGGCTGTCCGTAGGGGAACAATCATTATCAGATGAGGTGTAGAGGTCTCCTGAGGTTCCTCCAGAGGAAGATTTTTGGAAACTGAATGAAGAAAAATGCAGAGTAGGTCATGTCTTTATTTAACCACCAGAGGACGCTGTTATATCATGTAAAAAAAAAAAAAAAAAGGAAGTTCAAAATTAAAACATTACAGAACGACAATTAAAACCCAAAAATAATCGATGGACCACTAAAGTCTGTGCAAGTGTTTTTATTAATTATTTTAAATCTACTAACACAGTTGAGTTACCAGAAAATGAAGAGCAGTTGTCTTTTTCTTTATCAGTTGAGAAAACAAACGGTTCTTATCACTTAATAGGCCTTTTTCACAGCAGCCATTTTAACATAAAATAGTAGGGTAAGGGTACAGGTGTTACCAACTGCACTAATTAAGGTTGTCCTATAACGAAATAAAAACAAAATTAAAATGCTGATTAATTTAACGTTAAATTTACGCCGTTTACTATTTTAACCGACAGTATAAATCGTTAAATTAACCGTTAATTAGTTCCTAGAGACAGAACGCCAACGGTTGGTGTGGTCACCATGTATCCCTCCGCTTCCTGTAGTTTCGGTGAGTTTACTAGCTCGTATAAATTACTTTATCCTGTTTTAAAGTCATCTCAATATTTGTAATACTTGTCAAATAACTTGCAGTTGGTACGTAGGAGAACCGTGGGTTATTAAAATGGGACAATTCCCCACCGGGTGACCTGCTGCCCTGGTACTGACCCGGTCGTGTCCGTGGTTCGGTCCCTCTGCCGGCGGTTCTTGAACCAGTTGCTAACCTGTGTGGTTGTCAGGCCGGTGGCCGCTGCGAGCTCCCGCTTCTCCCGGGTAGAGGGATACGGTTTATTATGGTACCACTCCCGGAGTAAACTCCGAGATTTTTCCTGTTTAAGTTGAATAAAAAGTAAAGCATGAATGTTGTTAAAACGCAAAGATACACACAGAGAATTAGGGTTTAAATCTCTTATCAATACCAGAGCTAAGTTACAAGGTTATCTTGGTATTGGATAGAAGTCATTAAAATACCTGTTTACAGTACGCACCCATATTCATTACCATTCAATGTTTATTCGAGGTGAATTGTTATTTTAGTAACTTCAAATGGTGGCCACAGCCCTTCAAACGAAAGTGTTTAACTTCTGACAGTTTCCACCAGTGGTGAAAAAAGTAGTCCGACAGGCGCTTATAATAATAATGACTTATAATAATATGTGTGTTAAATACAAATATTAGTCCTGCATTCAATATTTCACTGACAAAATATACTTATTAAATGAAAAAGTAGTCACGCAAAATGTCTCCTTTAAGATGATTGTATTTTATTGTTATTGTTGATGTACTATTTTCATCATTTTACACTTGTAGCTGCTTGATGTGGAGCATCAACACAAGTACAAGTACATAAACCTGCTTTTGAGTATATTAATCTATAACTAATCACATTCTGGAGGATGATCATACACTGTATGCAAAGTAACTTATGATAGCCTAATTACAGTATAATACAAGTAAAACTGTACTTACAGTAAGCACTGCAACTTTATTAAATGTATGTACTTATAGGTACTGTATACCACTGTTCACTGATAGCTAATCAATATTCACAATGTTAACATCACATTTTTCTACCTTGAAACAGTAGGTGGTCTCCTCTCCATCCCAGATTGTGTGTGGTAGGGGAAACTTTCTCCTTACGCGATACTTCCCCACAGCTCCCAGGGGTCGGCCCTTCTGCCTCTCGGCCTCTATGTAGTGGGCTCTGAGCCAGAGCTGCTGCAGGAGCGGTTGGCTGCGTGGGGAGAAGGGGAAGCCCTTTAGCAGGGTGTAGAGGTCAGTGAAGCGATCCTGGTGAAAGGCCACTGCGGCTTTAGCCTTCAGTACACTCTCCAGCTCCCCGGGGCAAGGAGAAGAGGAGTAGGAGGAGAGGGAAGGAGGAGGAAGCGTGTGGAGGAAGCCAGCAAGACGATCCATGCAACCGGTCTGCAGGAGGACCTCGCACACACAGGCCACCTGCTCTGCTGTGAAGATCATTGCTATGGAAAGAGGATGGTGGCCCAAAGAGTCTTGAGATGTAAGTTGAACCAAAGTCTGTGTGAAGATATTGTCTAACAACCTCTCTGAAGTTTGTACTGCAGACAGCTGAAGCCTCTGTGGAGCATTGTGGCTCGTCTGTAGACGAACAAAACCTGGAGTGAACATGCATGTGTGTTTATCATGACTCATCATGCCCAGGCAGAATCGAATCGCAGGTAACCTGAGACCATCAGGGTTATAACAACACACCATGCATCCCGCCTCTTCTTGTACAAACAGAGTGTATGCACACCCTCACACACACACACATTTGGGATCTATTGTATTGGCACTCGCCCAGAGAGAGAGAGAGAGAGAGAGAGAGAGAGAGAGAGATTTGCCTTGCAGAAATAAAATACATTAGCATAAAATTTACTTGCCAAATCAGAAGCAAAATCCTCAAACAACAAAGTTTTAGTGCCAACAATAACTCACAGTGCCACCTTGTGATGATGCATGAATACAAGCTACAACAATATGAGAACGCTAACTAATACCAAAATTTTTTTTTTGTAAATGTAGTTTATTACAATATTATGTAATATAAAAAATAAAATGCATTTGAATACAAAATTGAGAAAACAAGAACCTTGAATGACAGATACAATTGATCCCTTTCAAAACAATCAAAATACATTATCTTTGGTTACATCTGGAGTCATATACGTCCTGTGTCAGGTAGGAGGAGAGTAAAAACATTTCCCAGGCTACAAACAAACAGGGCTACAAATGTGCGTAAGCCCACAGAGGCTTTAATGTCTACATACTTTGGTAAGAAATGGCTCATATAAACAAACGCAGGCTACCGTATTTTACATATAGGACACATTTCCCTTTACCCCTAACTACTTTAAATGTTCAGAATTTTTTAATTTTTTTAACTAAAATTGATTTGTCCAAGCCATTTAATGATCTACCCAAAGGCCACAAATGACCGTACATTTTATTAACAAGGGGTGACCTACTGTATTTTAAAATGACCTATCTGCCATTAAAATAGCAGTAATCTTAAGATTGTAAAATCTCAGCTTGCACAACAATGTGACCTTCCAAGTGAAAATGAATGTCATTTTCTATCCGCTTTATGTCTCATTTGTTTCAGTTAAAACAAGAAACCGATTGATACGTGCTTTAAATAGATTAAATGTACAAAAAAAGACAAACAACAAACATACTAATAATAAAAAAAAAAACCACAAAGGCCATTATTGTAACTAGACGTGACACTGAAGTGTATTTTTGTGTACCATAATTGGCCAAAGGTTTGACCGCTACCTGTGTTATGACAGTGCAAAAGCTCATATGATGACAGGAAGTTTTAGGTTTAAATTGATGGAGATTTTCCATCAATTTATGACAGATTTCATCAGGAAATCAGTATCCTGCTTTCTGATTTACCTCTTTAGCTATTCTGTCAAGTGTGTGTGTTATTACGGTCAAATTAAGAAAGAAAATTAAATTTCAGAAGAAGAATATGAGTCCAACAACTGTCATAACAATACGGCAGCGCAGCGTAAACATTGTGTGAATGAAAGGTGCAAAATATACAAACAAAAGAGGAGCTAGAGTTGTGACTATGCAGCCAACACTGCTACATTATGTTTCAATGGAGATAAAATAAACATAAATGTGGGTATTCAAAAAAAAAAAAAAGTCCATAAAGTGAATCCCAAAATTTGGTCGGGTATATAGCAATTGTAAAACTGTGTAAAAAGTCAAAACATTTCAAAAACATCAAACCTGTAAGCTTTAAAATAAGGCACTTATCAATATCAACAAACAGATATTTTGGATGCTTTTGACAAACAACAATATCACTATGTGGGATCACAGCAAATATTTTAGTGTAATGTACTGTCATGCGCATTTAAAACAACTTTTTCTTATCTCCCAAGTGTACTGGCTTTTTCAACTCAGCCATTGTGCCACATAGTGTCCTATGAAGAAACTTAACATGCATTGCATAGAGTATAGACCCTTTTATTTCCTGTTATATTTGTACTAATGGAGGGCAGAATTCTCTCTTAAAAACTGCATTAAATCAGTTTACTGATAAAATGAACCAGACAAATTCAACCCCAGACTTCAGTAACCTGTAGTAATAAAATACTGTTTTATAGCCCTTGAAATGATGATGTTGTAATGGATGAAGAACAATTTCAAATGTTTCACATAAAACTCAACTTGGTTCTGTGAAGAATATAATCTTCAGTATATTCCTGGAGTGCTGTCAGAAAAAATAAATTGAGGCTGTGAACAAGAAAAAGAATATCCTGAATGTCTGAGCTCTGGAGAGGCAGGCAGTACTCTTTTTTTCTAAATTTAAGCCTTTGCCAGATACTTCGGTGTATATTTACTAACTACTTCTACTGCCAGCAAAAACCCCAGACATCTTTTCCAAGTACAGCTGAAGTCCACAAAACTGCAAAGAAGAGCTGAGAGAATA